TATTTTATTTCCTCATACCTTGTAATCGTGCAGCTTGAGGTCCGGTCTGTAATTATACAAAGTGTTGAGAGTTGGAAGCGCCTCTGCCTCACCACCGAAGTACTCGATCACAATGTAAATCTGCCCCATGGTGGCGCTCACGTTCATGTACTCTGAGCCTCGGTATGGACTGTCAACCTAGAGAAAGAAATTGTCGCGGCCACATTTAAAGTATAATTTCAATTATCATTTACCCCCCCCCCAAAGAAAAAATTTAAAAAAAAAAAATATATATATATATATATATATATATATATATATATATATATATATGTGACACGTAGACTTTTAAGTAATATACAAACGGTATGTGAGCACCAACCGTTTATCTAGATCTCACAGAATTTCCCATGATAAAAAAAACCTGAACGTCAATTGTGTAATCTGATTTTTTGTTTTCTGTATCAAAACTTCAACCGGGTAATTGATAATGTAAACTTTGGTTTGCTGTTCGATCGTTATGTCCCTCGCATGAATAGTGGTATACAAAATTATCACTACATGGTATAAACATCGCCCTTTTTGATCTAGGGATTTTTTTCATTAGGAGGACAATATTTTCTGGGCATATTGAAGACTCAAACCATTATATAGAGCTGGGGCATTCGGTACTTTAGTAAAGGAAGACGAAAGGACAAAAGTAAAAACATGTATAAGTACCGGCAATATCCACTGAAAAAAATCCAATATGCCTTTCTCTTCTCCACTTGAAACGAACTCATTCTTATGTCATACATACAAGTTAGGAACATGTAAGCCCTACAGAATCATTGGGAGTTTTTCATTGGGACTTTTAAGCCGGTGTTGACGAAACTGAAGGTCCGTATAACAGAAAGTCCACCCCCAACCCTATTTAATTATACAGGTTAGGGTTAGTCTGACTAAAGTGATGATGACGACTCTCTATCATGGGGGGGGGGGGACTCTCTCAACTCACATCAGGAGTGCGTAAATAGAATTATGCCTGATTTTGACCGAACTTACCAAAACGTAGCCGCATGCTTTCTGTGGAAGGCCCCGTATGTACGAGAACATGAAATCCAAAACTTCATTTGCTACCACATTGTTGCCTGCTTGGTCTGTTTGGAATGGGTAGAGTCCCCTGAAGTTATTAAAGATTATATATTGATACTAAAATAATTTGATTGTTAAAAAGTTTTGGGTAGCTATCTCATTTAGTATAAATACCGTCAATTTAAGGAGCTGTAGATTTATAAACACACCGTTGCAAAAACAACGCATTCCATTCAAATTTCAATTCTTTATATTTCAATGTACAATGAAATAGTACAACTGCTTAATCATAATCACTACCTCAGAGTTGTAAATCCGCCGCTAGGGGGTTCAAATAGTCTGTACTTGACGCGGGTGACAATGGCAAAAGTGCCGCCTCCACCTCCACGAAGAGCCCAAAACAAGTCCGGGTCCTCTACCCGCGTGAACCCCATGTCGGAGTCCTCAATAACAATGTGAGTAGGGTACACGTGGACTATCTGCCCCTGTGCATTGACGATAGTGAATTCCAAAACGTTGTCAACTGCGAGTCCGAACATCTTGGACAGCAAGCTCTTACCGCCACCTAGCGTGAAGCCGGCGGGTGAGACGGTGCCAGAGTTGCCACCAACGATCAGTTTGTTATATCTGCCGGTGACCTTTGAGAAATAAACATTTATTTTGTATTTGCCAGTTATATATTTTTCATCAATGGTTGCAACATTTGACTTATTCAGTGTACTACAGGCACCATCTGTTTCCTTTAAACGTCTAACACAAATTTATAATAAAGATGAATTCAAAAAATATATTTGGAATTTCCCTTAAACTTTTTTGTATTTATGAACAGAGAACAATAGTTTCAGTGTAGGCCACATTAGACAATTTTTTGCGACTTTGGTATCTTTACATTTACTTGTTATAACAAAAACAATTTATGGTTCTGTTAGAGCGGCAATTTCGTAGTAGGCCTATGCTCTGATTGACGAAAGAGAGACCTGTCTTAGAAATCCAATTAAGAACCCATCCCCGTACCTAGATCTAACAGGGTCGACCATCCCCGAGGTTTTTTTCGATAGATTGCAGATTGCTTTCAGCTTAGGCGGCTTCGATGTCTGGCACCCCTACTGAAGCCGCTAAACGCTAGTTAATTACCCCCTAACAGCTTCAGTAGACGTGCCAGACATCTAAGCCGCTTAAGCTGAAAGCAATCTAGCGAAAAAAACCCGGAGATGGATAGATCCTGCTATATCGATCTACGTATTGAAATGGGATCTGAAGAAATTCTCACGTAAAGTTTTGTTTTTACCTCCTCATACAACTTGGCCCAATTATTCCCCACGTCTGTTACACACGACATCCCGGTGTCGCTACTGGCGTCGTTCAAGTCCACAAATAGGTACTTTAATCGCGATAGGTTGATCTGCAGGCTTCCGTCTGCCGTATTCCGGCCTATAAAGTCATGCCCGGATGTAATCACGGAGATGCGAATGTTAAATCGGCTGGCGAATATCACGCTTTTCTGAATGTCTTGGAGCGTTATGATGTAAATAATGAGACCTGGTAAACGAAACGAAAACAGTGATAATCGATATAGAAAAGATAAAGAGTGTTGTCTCTTTAAACAATAATAATCGCATAATTTTTTTTTTCTTTTTTCTTTAACTACTGAATCTTTTTTTAATACCATGTATGTATCATTTCATTCATGAATTCCCCAAGACTGTTGAACAGAGTATTTTGGAATATTGCGATAAATTGGTTTAGTTATCGACCTTAAATTATCCCAATCACTTATATTTTATTATGTCTAACACACTTTTTCTTCTGTATTAAAAGTCTTGCTAATCTGAACTACAGCACATTCCTTGGTTAGTGATCGAACCTGCATTTTGCTTGCAATGGTACTTTGCCGTTCCCTCTTTAAACAAAGTGTAAAACGAAGTGCAACACGCTCGAAACTTCTTTCTAAAAAATTCTTGGCGGATGGATATGTTTTAAAAGGGGTCGAAAAATATTGGCTTTCAAGCTGTTTTCAACAACAGATACACATTTAAACTAGAAAATTTTGAATGTCACAAATACGCTCTACAGGTTATATGTTAGATTATGAGGAATACACGTCAGTCCCGTAGCCAACAATTTCGAATTCAAATGGGTATTCTTTTTCTGAAAAAGTGGACTTTTTATCATGAAACCTTCATGTACTTAGATACAATTTTGCACAGAAGGGTCCTTTTGCTAGCAAATTTCCCAGCACATTAAAAAAAATGAAATAGAAAACGCCCTCACCCCCCCCCCCCCCCCCAATGGAATATATGACTTATTCGATCATCTGAACTCACCGGGGTTGGCAACCCATCTCTCGGGCTGTATGGTTCCTATTGTAGCGTTCCTGTAGAACGGTTCTCCGGGCAACACACACTCGCCATATATGGTTCTACAGAAAGCTTCTATCTCTTCTGTAGACGGCCAGCAACTCTGATCTGGCTGGCAGTACTCCGTGATCACTCTCTGGAAGAGTGAGCGTCATAATATAATATAATATAATATAATATAATATAATATAATATAATATAATATAATATAATATAATATAATTATAAACACTTGTGTATAATGATTATAAAGAAGTTAGCCGTTTCTGAAGCGTGTCTGTCTACCTACGAGGCATGCCATTTTACCCTTCATTAGAAAGGCTTGATAACTGTATGACTGAATCGTCGTAACGCCTTATAGACCCCAGTTCAAAAGACACCATTGTTCTACGTATACCGATCCAACTGTGGGGGACTGAATGAAACGCCTCTTCTTACTTCCAACGTACTGGCATAAACAGGAACTTTTTTCTTTCTACTCAACGCCAGGAGGAGGCCCGTCAGTAAATTAAGCTGATTGCAATCAGCCAGAGTCCCTGCAATGTTAGGTCGATCTACGTAGACCGAATGTCTAATATGGGAAAGCGGTCATAGGTTAAAAACACTTTCAGTCTTAGCAACAAGGTCAACCACATAATAAATTCCAACTTGTTTAAAAGTGAACGCCACACTTACCCCTCCCCTCTCCAACACGTCAATTGGATCCGGTTTCAAATCAGACGCCACACAATGGTGACAACTGAACCAGTTGTAAGGGTCCCAGCGGCGTTTGATCTCCACCAACCTGAAAGTAATGAAATGTTCGTCAGTCATGTAAAAGTTCTTTTGTTAACAGCCTGAGAAATAGATTGATACTAAATTACCAGCCGATTTGTCGCCTGCAATTGTTTAGATTATGTGTGAGATAATACACTGTCACCCGCCCGATATATGCCATAACACCTCGAGCGAGGAATAAACTCGTCCACGTGCACTGGTCACCTCCTGCCAAATTCTTACGTAATGTCTGACCAATTTGGTCAATTTTTGCTAAATACTTGTCGTGGACGTTCAACTGGCTTGAAAATTATTTAATCAACCGTCGACACTGACCATGCGCATCTCAGCTGAGCCACACCTAGCTGGGACTGCTGCGGAAAAAAGGTTCCAAGGCAAAACCTCTACTTTTTAGTGACATTACTGATAAACAAGGAGCGTTGGACCGGAATATCATCAAACTAATTTTTCACAAGTGCAAAGGAGAAAGAAACTTACTTTTGGTGATATTTCTGACACCGAGGCAGTTTCGGAATATAGTTAAAATCAGACGGATGTTTATTACAAGTTCACGGGAGTAATAATTCTAGTTTTAATTGTTATTTCTGACGACGAAGCGGTTACGGAATACAGTCAAAATCAAACGGATGTTTATTTCAAGTCCACAGGAGTAATAATTATACGTTTTGGTGACATTTTTTTCTTACTACGAGGCGGTTTCGGAATATACATGTGCTGGTTTTCAGAGCATTCACGTGCTACATGTAATTACAAGTTCAAAGTGGGAATATATTTGATTTTTACCGATATATCTGATAAAGAGGAAGAATGAACAGCTTAAAAACAAAAGGTAAATAACACAACCCTCGTTAAAAAGTTATAAATTTACTAATAATTTGCATGCACGTTTGGCTTAAGTGTAAACGAATTCCCGTTTTCAAACCATACCCATATGATATGACTTAGTTTGATAAAATTATAAATAATAATTTTTGAACGTGAAAAGTTTATGCTAATTTTTTGAAGAGTGTGAGAGATTTTAAATTTGTCTACTGGTAGGTATATAAGTTACGCAAGCAACGTCACTATTCTCTTAATGCCAAGAAGGTCAGATGATCACTCTGTCTTTGGCTTTCAGCATTTAAGAGACCTCGACTGATTTAACCAAGATGTAGTCGTGAAATTCTAGACTACATCGAGGTTAATTCCGAGTTTTCCGAGAGACGATACGCAGAAATGTCGAATGAAGCGAGATATTTTTGGGTAGCGGCTCGAGGTTGCCCTCGATCTTCACTGAAGCTTGGCTAAATGGACAGGCTTCAGTGATCATCATACCGCCACGGTCATATAACATCCCTAGGTATGTATGCATACGCTTACATTGCATTGCTTGAAAAGTAATTGTGAAAATTTATGCAGACAATGTAAATATGAAATAAAATAGTTTTAAGTTACAAATTGGCACTTTTAGAGTACAGAAACCAATAATCTACGGAATTACTCATAGCGGAGTAAAGGAGCCCATGTCATAGGTTATATTGTAGTATTCACTCATGTTGTTGTTTATATACTTCTTAGACAGTACATATTCCAGAATATGTAGGCGCATGTATAAATATCATATAAATATAACGGCAATTACCTGCGGTAGTGTCTTCCCCACTGAGAAATCTTCCATGTGAGTAAAATATCTGACGCTTCATTGAAATATACCCCTGCAAAATACAGATCAATACAGATCAATTCTATATTAATCAGTAGCCAATGCAAGACCCTTATTTGATAACTGGTGCCATAGGACAAGCGGATCTCAGATTTTGCCATGGAGTCTTCGATCCTGTTTAACAAAGCACCTTGTGTTGAATGAACAAGGACTTAAGCCCAGAACGCCATGACAAACTCCAAGGGTCTAAATGTCGACACGTCCCTTTTCATATTTCAAAAAGGCCATTCAGTTTCAGTTACGCTAAGTAATATTTTAATAATAATTTGCGTAAAACCTTCTTAATAAATTAAAAAATTGGGTATAAGGTTAAAGAGAAAAAAGTTAATTGAACGAAAATTCTTTTTTTTTAACGCGCACCAATAAACGAGAACCGCCGCCAAACCAGTTATACACTACCTTCACCGGAGTCGAGAAGCTCCTGGTGGAATGGTTGCAACTGTGAGATCCACTGTTTCTCAAACGGGATGCCGTCGTCGAACCAGTAGGCCCCGCACTGCCACGTCATCAGTCCCTTCCTAAAGCCAGGAGGAACGGAGGCTGAGTCCTCAGAGTACTCCCACATCTTCCCTGGACAATAGAGAATTTTAGTTTGGGTTAGGATCGACGGAAGCTCAACGGCGTTGATGATATCTCTCTCTCTCTCTCTCTCTCTCTCTCTAGCTCGCTCGCTCATCTATTATAGGCTATTACAATTCCAATGCGCACGAAATATAAGCTCACAAGCTCACAAGAGCTCATTTGTATATCTTTTTTTTTTACATCTTTCTGTGGGTTTCTTCATTTCTTCAATTGTATGATTCATATGGAGGCCTACTCATCATTTGTAAACGCCTTGGGCCTTCATGGAACTTTTTTGACATGCAATTTCTGTATATGTGATTGTAAATTTACATCAGGAATACTGGCTCTATGGTTTCTTTCTCACAATGGCTCGCTCTCCCTAAACTCTCTCGTGATTTCTAGATCCCTCACATCATTTGCTTGTCAATTACACAACTACCGCATTCCATATCAACACACACCTCACACTACAATATCACACTGAGGTCAACCTACCTCCCATTATAGCTCCTTCGCACTCCATAATCAACCCCATTTGTTCCACGTCCAGGAGATTCCTCACCATCAAGTCAGCGAAATTCTTATTAAGACCATCGTCCTGTATAATTGTACTGAACATATACGTCCTCCCCGTGTAGCCGGTGTACAAGTTGTCCTTCCGCATCTCCCAGAAGTTCGGGAACACTTCGGGAGTATACTGGTACAGTTTTAAGTCCGGACGGTAATCGAGGAGCGGCTTAAAGACCGGGAGGGCATCCCGGTAGCCACCGAAATATTCGATGGTTACATATATCTGGCCGTTGGTTGCATCTATGTTCATAAACTGTGATCCAAGATATGGGCTGTCAACCTTGAAAAAAGGGAATAAGGTGTGGACTTAGCCGTGAAAATTTGCAGAACGCCTATTACATCTTTGACTTACAAACGTGCTTGACTGAAACACAGCTAAAAAAAATAGGCATAATAGAGGTTGCTTAAAAAATTGCCCATTTAAAAGCAGGGGGCTAGATACACTTGTTAAACTCTGCCGAAGTTGGGTTCATTAGTGGTTAACATATAAACATTCACATTATTTTTCAGTAAAAACCTTAAACACAATAATTCAGCAAAACAACTGTGATATATCGATTTACTACTTTAAAACATCATGGATTTACTATAATAGTGACGCTTTTGCCTTTGTAGACTTCAGATATTCAAAAAGATTTTGTCGCAGCACTGTTTGCTGCATAAACAATCTATAAACCCTTCTTGTTACCACTTTTAGCTAGATGTAATTATCGACACAGCAACAGCATATAGATATACTTACTATAAGCAGAACTTAATAAAAGCAATCTCTAGGAACGCATTGCTAACTGTATCTACAGTAATGAACTGCATACCTACCAGAACAGACCCACACGCCTCCTTTGGAAGTCCCCGGATATAAGTAAAGAGGAAATCCAAGATTTCGTTGGCCACAAGACGGGTACTTGTTCGGAAAGGATAAAGTGCTCTGTGGAAAAAAATAATATCAAATATATCATATGAAGAAATTATCCCATTTTTCTGTAACAAAATACAGTTGACATAACTGACATTGAACTAATGAGGTTATTGGGCATTTATGGCAGACAGCAGTCTAAAGTTGCTGCATCTTTCAAAATAAATTGCCACGGAAACTAGTCAGCAATATATGCCTCTTGCACTCACACTGATATTGCGTTATTCAGTACAAGGCTAAACACTTGTCTAGTCTAAAGTAGAATATTAAACAAAACGTAAACGTGTGCATTAGAGGGTAAGGCACAGAGATAGAGAGATTAATTAATATGTTTTTGTCAACTACCTCAGTGTGGTAAAACCGTCTGCTGGAGGATCAAAGATTCTGTATTTAATCCTCGTAACAATAGCAAAGGTACTGCCTCCTCCTCCCCTCAGGGCCCAGAATAAATCCCCGTCATCAATACGTATCGGATCTCCATCCGGGGACTCTACTTCGATATGACTCGGGTAAACCCGTACAATCTCGGCTTTCGCATTGACCACCGTCATCTCCAAAACGTTGTCGACTGCGAGACCGAATATCTTGGACAGTAGACTCTTACCGCCACCTAGCGTGTACCCAGCAGGAGAGACGGTTCCAGAATTCCCGCCCACGATAAGTTTATTGTATACGCCTGACACCTGTAATGCATAACACGATATATTGCAGACTGTTCACGAAAACTGTAATTAAAATTAAATATATTTCAAAAATTATCAAATTTTCAGACACATAATATTATATTCACAAGAAAATATATTTCTACGTAGCATTAGTAGTGCTTTGACTGCAAATAATGGAAACATAAAGTAGCCTTCTTTTAATTTAGTTGCTACTGCTCAATAGCTATGTTCTTAATACAAAAACCATGACTTAAAAATACAGTATCTGAAAAATTCACCACTTCTCGGCATTGAAAAAATCCAGTAATTACCGTAGTTACTCTACCTGTTCGTAGATGTAGGCCCACCGGTTACCCACGTCCGTAGTGCACGACATTCCAGTATGGCTGGTTTTGTCGTTCAGGTTGACGAAGAAGTACTGCAGGCGGGACAGGTTGATCTGGAGACTCCCTTCGGCTGTGTTCCTTCCGATGAAGTCGTGACCGGAAGTGACGATGGAGATCTGGATGCGGTACTGTTTTGCGAAGAGGACGCACTTTTGGACGTCCTGAATGTTGGCGACAAACACCACCATACCTTAAAAATTAGATATAGCGTTATTAGTTTGATGGTAATTAGAAAAACAGTAGAAATGGGAAAATGTAGAAATAAGCAAACTGGAGTTCAGAGGAACAGATTGTTAAAAGTACTTGCAGTTATCAATTCAAGCTTAGCTTGGTATTCATTGGTAAAGGGATGTCTTTCAGCGATTCGAGCTGCCTCCTACACATATTATTAAATGGTTAAACCTTTTCAATATGAACCATATCAATATCATGTCTTTTAAAAGACGGTTTTTTAATGGACCCATCATTGTTAATATATTCTAAGAGTCTTTTAATAACCATTTTTGGGGGAGAAGTATTTCCTCAAGAAGTTTTTTGGTGCACATTGTTGAAAATATAAATTGCGCATTATCAGTACACCCCTTGCGTCATTAATTCCTTACAAATCGTTAAGAATTTCAACGTTCATTATCTGTACATAAATTTGTTGATGAAGTGACCGTTAATCTATCTCAAATTATATCAAAACACAATCTGGCCAAAGCACAGAATACAAAGTAATCTGTTTGACGTAAAGGGCAAATCTCACCGGAATGAAACGTGAAGTACTTTTGCCTTGTCGGTGAGACAATTTTAAAAAAATAACCCTTATTGAAATTTTATTTGTTGTGCAGTGCACACATTATGCACGGGTGCTGTTAAAATGCCGTTGAATTTTTATGGGTGGTAGAACGTTTTTGTGAATGACGCGACTGAAAACCGACATGCTATTTAATGTCTTTATAAGATATAAGTTGTGCGGCATTAATACAGATAAACATGCATCTATATATACCCATGCAAACATTTGTTTTAATTGTTTTGTGAGATTCCTCCAATCAAAAGTATAAAAATGATGCTGAATTATACACATTGACCATATGTAGATACATACGTACAGTACATCGATATAACTAGATACAGCTAACTAACTATATAATAGCACAGAACTATCGAGTGTTAATTTTTTCAACGTTGTGTTCTCTATACCAGACAAATTAACACCGTTATGTGTGTAGCTTTGTAGAACAGGCATGAACGACTTAATGTCTTGGTTTGCATCCATTTGCATGGCGATTTATTTTATTTTTGCAGGGACTAGATATCCCAGCGTGTTTGCAAACAGCGTGAAATTATTTGAACATTGAAAAGTCGTATTTCTCAGATCAAAGTATAATTAATGTGACTACACTGACCTACACTTAATCGAAAATAGTTATATAAATGGTGCGACGCTTTCTATTATTCAAACTTATTAAAGAATAGGTCGTATTGTCTAATATGCATGCATGTGTTTTATCGGAAAAGACCTCCTCTTTTCTTTTGGATACATAAAGATTTGTTTACAAATATGTTTTTCTAAGTAAGTTTTTCAAGACAACAGCCAATTAGTAGATACACAATTAAGATAATGTCGTTTTACGTCCCTGCCTAAAAAACTTTGCATATATAATCCTAAAAGTAATTACTGGATTTTCACCCCGCTGTCTTCGATAAACAAGTTTCATTGCAGTTTAAATCTGGTCTTTATGTATCCTTAGTACCCAGACAAAGCAGCGAAGTATATGGCACTCAGAATTATCACCCACAATTACAAACACTGCCACACCAGGTATTCAGCTTCAACGTTTACTGCTGAGAATACTATAGCAAAAATAATGTGAACAAAAAAATAATAATCAAATAATCAAAATATAATCAAATATATCTTAAAAAAACATTTTTCTTTCTTACCCGGGTTTGCCTGCCATCGTTCTGGCTGTATAACTCCTCTAGTAGCATTGATGTAAAACTGATCCCCAGGGAGTATGACGTCTCCAAACAGGCTGTCACCAAAGCTTCGTATTTCGCTTCCAGAAGGCCAACAGCTGCTGGTCGGTTTACAGTAACCCTCAACTGGTTGACCCACTGTTTTATCCAGGATCACAAAACAAACCACGGCAACGACGACGATATTAAGCCAGCGAATCATTTTGAGGTGACTGTGGAGGCCTTGGCTTACCAAATATACTAATGTTATAAATGATACAGTTGGCGATCACAGTATACTTGTTCTGGAACGACAGTTTTCTCCGTTCTTACCACAGTTCTATTCGTTTTTCGTGTAATTTCTTTGGAGGGTACAATGTAAAAATCCTCGGTTTACCAAATTAGAAAACCTCTTTTAACGTGAACAAAGCCGTGAAATCCTTCGGCTGGCTGAAACCGACACCCTGTCAGATTAAGTCATCAAGCCACAGCTATAGATAATGTCCCCTTTTTCCTTTGGAACGAACGCCAAGTCCCCTGTTAGCTTCCCCACCTGTCCGACTCCCCGGGAGCGACGACTGACTTATGAACGGAGAAAGTCTACAGGTGTTACAAACCGATTGTCCTTATGGTATACCAGACCGTACGTGACCTGAACGCCAATTGCCGCCATGTTTATTCATTTTGGGAAATTTTCCTCACAAGGAGTGGCAATTAAGAATGTCTTATTTCTCGGGGAAGTGTCGACGGCAGTGAGCGGAATTTGTAATCATTTCGAATATTAAGTGAAAAGTTTGACCAAACGTCCAGCACGCTGAAACTATAGACAGAAGAATGATCTGTGTATCAAAGTGGTAGATATGTCCACTCAAAACAGCTACATTTGTTATGGCTTGATGGTTATTAGCAGAAATAAAGATAAATGCTCTTCTTACAAATATGAGTAAAATTCTTGATAATTTTCAATCGAATTGAAGTACACAAAAAGACTCCGTCCACTCTCCCTTTGAGAAGTTTCACAACATCAAATGAAATCGTTGAAAAGATACCCATCCAACATTGCGAGGATTTATGGTGGGTTAACACTCATTAAAAAGGTATTTGCATGTGTAACCGCCTGGAACGCGGCTAAGATGTCATTGGAGAAAGCGTTCTACACTAGTTTGAACCGTTTGTGTACGAAATAAACAGGAAACTTTGCTTATTGTGATAGCGGCGATTGCGGTCAACGGAATATAAGAAAGATATAACAAAGCTATTAAGAATGACGTCACATGTATTGATTAGGACTTCTTTTTGGCCCTCCTTTCTTAATGAATTTTTAAACAGGTTATGTGATAGCGCGGACGAACAGGGTTTTAACCAGGTTTCAAGGATAATTTTAATAAGGATGACACCAAAACCAAAATGCGGAACCGGATAGTTTACGTTATAAGTAACAGTTTACTCCACAAGATGGAGTATGGTGAAAAAACTAAACACACCAATTTGCGTGCTCTGTGCTTTTTCTATGCCTCAGAATCGCGTTTGGTATACTTAGCTTTTCACTACAGTTTTTCTGATGCATTTAATATTTTTGGGACATTCACAAAATGATCTTGCACAAAAACTTTATGTTCCTTAATACACATTGCTGTCGTTTTCTCAATGAAACTCTCAAAAGCAAAAAAAAAAATAAAGAGTGCATTACACCCGCCATAAAGTGTGTAGCAATCTGTTAAAGGATTAATAACTATTCGTATGAGATCTATATTTCACAATAAAAACATTGTAAATAACTCATAGAAATATAATATATTCTGTTTTACCACAAAAACGGCAGTTATAGCTTGTCTTTAGACCACGTGACCTCCATTGACCTCTATACTCTGTTAAAATCTCTTAAGAGATGTTAACAAAAAACCAAACTTTTTAGAAAAAAAAAAAACAGGGACTAACTTTGAATGTAAAAATGAATTAATTAACCATTGGTAAGTATGGGAAAATTGTTGTTTACTCCAGGAAAATTCATTTTTTGGTCGAAACGAAGGGTTATTATCCCTTTTACGATCCGCGGGATGAATCACCAAATGCTTAACAAGCTTATTTGTCTATTCAATATACAAACTTAGAGCCCTCGCGCGAGCTATTAAGTAAATAATAATGCAATTTGGTGCACCTGAGACAGAAAGTAAATGAGTATAACGACTTACAATAGACTCTAGTATGCTTTCACAGCAAGGATTCTTTTACTGTTCTGTTTTATGTATTTATTTATTCCCAGTGCGTGCACATGATACACATGAATATAAAAAACAAGTTAGATAAGTAACTTGTATAAGAAAAAGAAACAGATATAAACTACTTCTAGTGTTATGATACAATGAATATATGCATGATTAAGTGATTAAGTGATTATATACTGTATAGTCACTATGTATTGGCCATAACTTATATAGAATGGCGACAGCAGATTCTCTCAAGACGGCTTTCTAATTGGGCATCAACACAATAAAATTAATATTCAAAAATGTTACATCATCCCTTGGATCAAAAAGCAGTCTGTTCTTAGGCCTATATCTAAAAGCGACTTTCAACACCAGTATTAATAAACGTAAATTAAAAGTGGTAACTCGATTGTTTTTCATTTTCATTTCATGTACTCAAAACAGTGAAAGTGAAAAGTGCAACATAGAATTACAGTGTTTGAGTCTAGTGTATATATATATATATTTATAATTATTCCAATATAACAAACACACATGTAACATCAGAATGGCATACAAGCTAAACGGTCTCGTGTGAAGGAATACCCGTAAGTAATTGGTTTCACCAAGTAAAACTTCTGGCAATAATAAACTTCTGCTTGGGATCGTACAATACTGTATTATGCCTTGTTTCACCTATGTTCGGTGACAACTTGCATTGTGCAGTGTAATAACTTTATTTCATTGCAGCATAATTTTTTTTCTTACCTTTAATGCTTATAAATAAATACTGTCATTATCTTCTTTTATTTTAGTTCATAGCTCCCAAAAGAAAACGGTTTACGATGTTTCTGTTTTCATTAATCATTGGTTAGTATTCTTATCTTATATGATATAATAGAATATAATTTTATATTACATTCTTTTATCTTACCTATCATCAGTCATCGTCGTAAAAGGCTATTAAAATATGCTAAAAGATTATTAGGCATCGGTTTGATAAGAGGTCTGATAACTTGAACCTGATGGTCGAACGTAACGCCGAAGAAAGCTCGCAAATTATCGTTCCGCAGAAAATTATCAAACGTTCCCTGATTGGGCGATTTTCTGTGGATCTTATAGGCTAGTTTAAATCCAACCCTGTCTATCGGCCATTCTCGTTCAGATGCACGGAAAAGGACGGTCGCTGCATTGCCCAGGGTGGTTATCGTCTTAGTCGGGATTTCCGAACCGCAAAACCTGTTAAAAGTATCGACCATGTGAGTGTGTTTATAGTCAACTGCTATGAACTGCTGTGGACTAGCAGTTGTAAGTAATTTTCAGGAACAAACGGTCTGCATCTAATTCCATGCAAGGAATTTATGAAGTAGGATTATCTTTAAAATATAACCATTTTTCGTTCTTGTAACAAATGTATAGACCACAGAAGAGTATTGTTCTAGGCTTTTGCAAAATTATAGTAAACAACATTGATTTAAAGGGATAATAACTCTTCGTTTTGGCCAAAAAATGAATTTTCCTGGAGTAAACAACAATTTTCCCATACTTACCAGTAGTTAATGAATCCATTTGTTCATTCAAAGTTAGTCCCTGGTTTTTTTCTAAAAAGGTTTTTTGTTAAAATCTTTTAAGAGATTTTAACAGAGTATAGACGTCAATGGAGGTCACATGGTCTAAAGACAAGCTCAGATATCAGAATAATAGCTATAACTGCCGTTTTTGTGGTAAAACAGAATATGTTATATTTCTATGAGTTATTCACAATGTTTTTATTGTGAAATGTAGACCTCATACGAAGAGTTATTATCCCTTTAACTTTTGCATTGATTTGTTATTTGTTAATATGCAAATAAACAAAGAAGCATTACCTCGCCCCAGAGGTACCTATGGACTTCCCGTAGCGTATTTCTACGTAGTCGTTACAAAGACCATCAGCAAATGCCGCTATGTTGAATATCGGACCTTTGAAGTACAGGCTAATTACATGACCGGGAGGTGCCTGTGAACAGCAGATCAAATAATTACACAAATAAATAAATAAATTCACAAATAAGTAAATAAATGATGGATCTAAAAAATAATAATAATTTAATACACAGTGTACAAATATTGTGTGAAAGCATTTTGGCAAGTCTTTAAAAGCATTTTAGCGCTAAAATTTCAAATATCGTTTCTTTTACTAAAAGTAATTACCTCCACCAAGGAGGTTATGTTTTCACCCCTGTTTGTCTGTTTGTTTGTCATCAACTCAAAAAGTTATGGACCCATTTTGACAAAATTTTCAGGAACTGTCAGAAGTGGGCCAAGGAAGAGATGATTAGTTTTTGGTGGTGATTCGGATCAATAATCAATCAATACTCAATAATAATCAAAAATCGCTGCCTTGGCGGAGGTCTGCGCTTTTCTAGATGTCAATAAAAGTAACTTGTCACCTTGATGAGCCAGCTGCATTGCTGGCCACGTGCGTACGGCGTGTCTCTATATCGATTCCCAAATCGCATTGCTACGTCATAACCGGGGGATTCTATTGTCTGCTCATATTCGGTGGCCTCCAAAACAGCCCCGCAGTGTTGCCCTATAATTGAAATCAGAAAGTGTGACAAGATGACCGAGACGAACTTGGCAAATTTTCCACCCCATTGTCATATAAATTTTCTATTTTTGCTCCCCTCCCCTCCCCCCCTAAAACTGAGAGCAACTGAAAGCAAGCACTGTAAATCTGAAATTTTAAGAACAGGAAGTTTTCCTGTACAAACTGTCAGCAGTAGACAGTAAATAATAAAATTGATAAAGCCTACAGGTTCCATCAAACAGGTGTGAACTGAGGAATTCCAGATATTGCATACATTATATACTTATATTTGCCTTATTTTTATCTTTAAAAAATGAAACTTGGATTTCTAGGAGAAACTATAGAAACCAAGCCACTTCTCTTTTACAAAGGGGGTGCACAGGGCAAAATTATATAAAACAACACCCGAAAACAATTTCAGTACAATATATGAGACACAGGAATGTACAAATTGCTTGGTTTTGTCTCGTTTTATTCATCATAAGGTTTTGGGGTAGGAAAATGAAGGTATCTTAGCAAATAAGAGAGACCATGTGCCTGCTGTATCTCCTCCGTATCTGCCATTAATTATAATAAATTGGCATAATAGTTACCTTTAGATGACATTACTCTGTCACACCTTATTCCACTCAAACCTTCAGGACAGAGACAAGAAGAGCACCTGGACATTTCGTTTGGGTTGGGATAGCCTTCGTTCTCGCAATACAGATTGGAATTCTTGCACGTATCTATACGAAAATAAATTGAAAACATTCGAGAAAAAATAGCATACACCTTCACTGCAGTCCAAATATACAATTTATATATCCCACAAAAGATCAATATAGGCGTCAAAAAAAAAAAAAAAAAGAACCGAAAGTACCACTAATCTGACTCTGTCACGTTACACCGTAGATGTCTCACTTACCAGGACAGTACAACATATTTACAGCCTTGGCGTCAAAGAATTGAATACCGGTAGAGGTCCCTACACTTCTCTGGAGAAGAGGATCTTTGGCCAGAATGGTCCGAAGATTAACGAGGACGTTGTTCTTATCATATACCACCTTGCCAAACATCTAGAATAACAGTTATGAGAAAAAGAAAACGGACATCTAATAATTTCTTTAAAAGCACTTTGCAAAAAGTAAGACGTGACACGTAAGGAATTTACTTTTGTGTCAATAAATAGCTGTTTACAAAAGTCAGACTGTATCGATCGTGACATAATCAATTTGTCGTGTTATCCTCGACTCCGTGATAATTTCCCTCAGTTATATTGAAAAATATTTTGTCTAAAATCAATAAAAAGGAAAATATGCATACGCTCACAGATATATATATAGCTAAAGAACGTGTTCACTATAAAATGACAATGACCTCCCCTATTTTACTACATGAACAATAAAAGAAACTCACTTTGTCCGGGTAATGCATGAGAGAGCCAACGTCGTACGGGAGATTGAATGTATTTACTTCTGATGGACCTTTCGCCTTGAATTGGTATTGCAAGTACGGTTCTAAGTTTTCTTTCAGAATTGTGACGTAAGAATCTCGATCTGGACGAGACTGTTCGTGAGTTAATCCAAGGGCGTGACCAATCTCGTGGCGTATGATATCAATCTGAGGGAAGAATTACCGATCAAGTATTATCTTTAATAAAAAATGATACAAGGGGTGTTAAATGAATAAATAAAAAAATCATTAGCAGGAATCTTGGAAATAACTCTAAAACTGCATGTATTGAAGGGACGATGTATTAGTAGAACATCTTATCTTTCACATGCGATTTAAGAGGGTATGATATTTAAGGACCGTGCAGTCTGTGTTTTATTTTCTTTTTTAATTGGTGGTTCATGCATAAAGTGTTGACAGTTAACGCTTACATTGACAAAACA